TTGTACGAGTGTGAGAGAATTCTCTGTTTTTTGTTCGAGAGGGACCTTATTGCTCGTGGTTTATTTTGTAGCCAACTTGATCACGCACTTTGACGCGACCATATGATGTCCGATTCTGAGCCCAATCCACATCCTAAGGCCGCATCGAATGCCCGTGTTGTTAGGTTATTTTTACACTAATTACTGTGTGATTGAGCCGTAGAATGTGTGTGAGTGGGAGAGATATGAGAGATGCGTACTGTTGCCTTATGTCAATCAAATATTATTTTTTGTTCGTCTCGTCCAAACAAAAAAAAAAGATTCGAACTAAATGTAACAAAAATATAACGCTTCTCCGCCAGCCACCAACAAATTTTGATTGCGCCCCCTGGTTTCTTCCAGACGTTAAGTTGATTCTCAAAATTATTACATTTTCATGTTTTATTATTGTGATTCCTTTCGACAAATAAATGTTGTTGTACCAGTGACTTATCTTTAGTTATTGACCGCTCGGCCGAGGAGACATCGCAAGGGTAGAACATGCGCTCTGCGTCCTGGGCAGCACTAGCAGCCAAGGCAAACACAACTCCGGCAGCTCCGGAAAATTTGAAACTGTCTGCCGGAGCGTTGGCGTTGCAACGTGAAGAATGATTCGTTGTCGAGAATCTCGAAACAAACACGAGACAACACTGGTTAAGACTAAGACCGGTACTCTTTCGCGCTTACGCTCGCCCCTTCCCTACCGTGGAAGATCAAGGGTCGTCCAGTATCATACTTATATGTGTAGTACCAAGGTGTCCCACAGTTAAAAGCGTAGGAAACTATATATCCTGTGCAGTTAGCAGTGGAGGACACAATGTGCTTTTGCAGTTAAAGTGCACTATACACATAGACGACACACGGTGGTATCTTGCAACCTGCACTCTTAACTGTAGGGCATCTGGTGCTGGTGTATTTGTCTTACACATGTTACTCTTTGACAGAACACCTGAGTCCTACACCTACTGCAGCACAACCTGTTCTGCGCTAACAAGTGTTAGACTGTACGACACTTGAGTTTTCAGAGTATGTGGCATACACCGGAGGGTCGGTTAGAATGCCTATACTTGGCGTCGGTTTTTATGCTGGCTGCCGTCGTGGGTTGGACAGAAGTGTTCTATTTCCGGCCGGACAGCCAGTCGTGCGGCACCGGCGCGCTCTTCCACTTTTTGCCCGATGATCCCGACAGCGCCGCCCCCGTCATGCTCCGGCCCGGCTACGCCCCCGGCTCAGCCGCAGACGCATTCAGTGCCACTTGCGCAGTCGCGGCCCCAATGCGACCGCACGTCCTGTTTGAAATGCAGGATGAGAGGAGAGGGAGGATAGATTACGTGTCGCACTCGCTCGCTCATCCCTTTCACCCGCACCTGCCCCCCCCC